CATCTTAACTGAATTCATGTAGAACTTGACTAAAACTTTATGCTCTTTAATTAGTAACTCCCTCCCTCCAACCCTTGGCAACACCTCAGACTGAAGTTTTTTCTGAGATTTCCTCAGATTGACGTTTTCCTCAAGTACCCAGCAATGAATGGACATATGCTAGGACCCATCATCATCGCACACTAGGATCCTGGGTCCAAGAAGCTCTTGAAAGCTTTCAAGAAAAAAAAAATCACCCACGAAGGATTGGGAACAATAGTGACTTAGACTTCTCAAAGGCAGTGCAGAAGCTGGAGAATAACAGCACAATGGCTTCAAAATACTGAAAGGAAATCATTTCTAACATAGAATTCATACCCAGTCAAAGTATCAATAAAATGTTCAGATATAATAAAGATGTCTTCTAACATAAAAGTCTCAAATCATTGAACTTTTGAGTGTCCTTTCTCAGAAAGCTACTAGAGAATACAAGCTCACAACGTGAGAATGGAAGCCAAGACTGAAGATTTAAACCAGATGGAAAGAGAAGATCAGCTTCACACAAGACAGTTTCCCCAGTGATAGCAAAGAGAGATCCCAGTGTGAAAGCTGTCCATCAGGTCTAGAGGTTGACTAGTATGAACTGGAGAACATTACAGCACACCATAAGAGATGGCTTTAAGAAAACAAAGCTGAGAAAATTCCTTAAGGGGAGATTTATAAAATTATAAAAGGTGTTTGGGTTGAATTGATAATAAGTTCCTAAAAAAAATTTTAAAAAACAAACAAAAAAATCAGATCAAATATTAACTTCAGAGAAAACAGAAAAGTTTTGCAGGAAAGGAAAATAATCATAATATATGTCCAAAAGAAAACAGCATAATTCAGGAGATCTTACTAAAGACACTAAAAATTTGTAAATGTGTAGGTAGATTTAAGAAAAATAAAAAGACTAATGACAACATAAGAATTGTTACCATTCCAGGTGAAAAGAACATGCCATTACTTGACTCCAAAGAGACTATCATTTAGAGAGAGTTGACTGACAAGAGCCGTGGGCTTTGTAGAACAAAGCAGCTACCCCATGGCAACCAGGCAGGGGGGAGCCAGGGAACAAATACTATGACCTCCTGTTCCTCCCTCCAGTGTCCTGCTGGTGCTTCCTATTGGTCAAGCCCAACAGTGTCAGCAAGGGAGCCCTTTGATGGAGTCCATGCAGATCAGACTCCCAAGACCCAGCAGAACGGAGAAGGATGGAGAACTGAATCAGGAAAAGTAAACAGAAGAGAAACAGCATAGCATTGATACGCAGGGTCAACTGTGGACTTTCATATGGTTATAACAATGGAAATACCAATTAGTGATCTAAACAAAATCATAACTGTATTAGGAACGTGGAAAGGGTACACATACGTGGCAGGGGTGGTGTGTGTACTCTTCCATAGTGAAAATCAGTAGATCATACCCAAAACTGAAAAAACCAAGCATGTTACTAGTGGAAGGAAATATGAAAAAATTTAATGTGACTGCCTATAATAAAATGAAATTAAAAAGGAATTAACTGAGATCTCTCACATCATTCTCAGTCCTAACACACGATTATGATTATGATTACAACTACTCCTACTATTATTATCTGATGGTCCATAGGTGGAGAATGGGACACTTGACTAATGGAACCCCCCACCTCAAGAACAATTCAGAAATTAAAAATCTAAAATTAGATTTCTTACCATCTCAAAACTATCACTCCATGGATGACTTATAAAGGGAAGAATGTACCTTGAGAGTGTGGAGAGTTGGCAGTCACTACTTACGCAGGTGGTCAAGTGTGGAGGCTGTTGCCAACAGTAGTAGGGAAGGACTGACATTCTGTGTTTCTTGATGTGGTGCCAGGATACCAGTGTGGTATCCTTGCCAGAAATGCTTGTCCTGACCCTACTAGAGGGTGTCAGACAACTGGGATTAATGGTACCAACCTAGGTCAGATAACTGGCCTGTTCTCTTCAAAGTTTGGGGACAGGGGATACTGGGAGATTCAAGAAAACTACCAGTCAGATACAATGTGTGAAGCTTGATTAGATCTAAGTTAGGAAAAAGTTAACATTTGTAAGGCATTTATGGAACAATGGGCATCTTTAAATATGGTGATTTTATGGAGTTAGTGTCAGTTTTCTCAGGTACAGCAATGATGCTGCAGTTATGTAGGAAGGAGACACATGCTAAAGTATTTAGGTGTGAAGTGTCGTATGTCTACCTCGCACTTTCAGATGGTCTGGCACAAAGGAAGTGTAGAAAAGATGGAGAGTGGTCAGATGTCAACAACAGCCCTTTAGATAAGGACTTTTCTAGTGTGAATACCCGAATACTGTTCCTTCAACTCTTCTGCAGCTTCAAAGGAAAAGTTAAGTGCTTCTGGGGAGGGACAAATGTGGGGATGGCTGGGCTGCTGTTTCATTAGACTTGAGTGTCTATGAACAACAGAGTACATGTTTAACCTTGATAAAGATACAAACTAATGAAATAAAAGTCAAGGTCGATAGAAGAAATAGTACAATTTTGAGAAATATTATTTGGAAACCAGTACCTTTTAAATTTGGTAGTTGAGTCTTGGGGCTGGAACTTACCTGCCTTCTCCATTGGAGAGACTAATAAAATGAGGCACAGGGGAGTTCAGTGCCTCGCCCAAGATCATACACCTATGTAGCAGCAGAACCAGGTCAGGCATCTCTGCATCTCTGTTCCAATAATCTTCCCTTATGTATGATGAACTGTTCGTTTTCTATTGGGTAACACCCCTGCATAGTGAGTACATAACCGCTCAGGGATCTGTGTTCTTTCTTAAGAAACATGAAGCTAGAAAAAACCACAGCTGGATATTGGCTGGGAAGGGAAATTGAAACTGATATTGCAGGGTGGTTGCTCTTTGGCAATAAAGAATCCTTTCTACCAAGTGAGAGGGTTTCATTAGTTCACACTGTAATTGGCCAGTAAAGCTTAGTAATTGATACTAAGAAGCTTGTCAGCCCTTGGCTCCCAACATTTGGCCCAGCTGTCAAAAGTCAGCACAGTCAGACAAAGAAGCTTTGTTGCCGCTCGTGGTGATCACTGAGATACTTAGACAAAGAGAAAGTTCTTAGCATTTGGGGTACTTCGATTGTTAAACATCTGTCCGATTTCCTTTAAGACTCCAAACCATAAGGCTGGTTTTGATGATGTATAATTTATTGTTGTCCCCTATATCTTATTTTTAAAGTTTCCAAACACACATAAGAGGTAAGAAAAAATACTTCAGTGAACACCCATACACACATCACTTAAATTCTACCATTAATATTCCACTGTTCTTAATTCATTATCTATACATCTATCCATCTCTCTTTCCAGTTAACAATCCCTCTTATTTTTGGATGCATTTTGAAATAAGTTGCAGCCTTTGGTATACTTTCCCCCAAACACTTCAGCATGCAGATCACTAACTAGAATTCAATATTTTTATGGTTCCTTTTTGTTCCTTATAAGGTAAAATTTACATACAGTGAAATGCATGAATCTTTTAAAAAATATTTGTTATTGTTGTTTTTTGGGGGTGGGGGAGAGGTAATTAGACTTATTTATTTATTTTATTTTATTTTTTAATGGAGGCACTGGGGATTGAAACTAGGACCTCATGCATGCTAAGCATGTGCTCTATCACTGAGCTATACCCTCACCCCTGAAATACACAATCTTAAGTGAACCATGAGGTCCTGCAAATATACACACACGTGCAACCTAAGTCATCACCAAGACATGGAACAGAAACATCTTCCACAGAAAATTCCCTCACACTCTCGTCCAATAAATTCCTACCTCTAACTGCTCAGACGCAACCATTGTTCTGAAATTGTTTCACCAAAAATTAATTTTGCCATATCTATAGCTTCCTGTCAATGGTAAAATACAGTATGAACTCTTTTTTTAAATGAAGTGTATTTGATTTACAATATTATGTTAATTTCAGGTGTACAACATAGAGATTGAATATACAGCAAGTACTCTTTCTGCAAGGTTTCTTTTACTCAATATAATGTTTTAGGATTCGTTCACATTGTTGTACATTTGTTTCTCTTTATTTCTGAATACTAGTCCATTGTATGAAGCACATAGCTTGTGATTTATTCTCCAACTGATGAACAGCTGAGCTGTTTCCAGTTTGGAGCTCTCATGAATGAAGCTGCTATGAATGTTCTTCCACAAGTCTTCTTGTGGACATTTGTTTTCATTTATCTTGGGTAAATACCCAGCAATGGAATTTGTGGGTCATAGGATGTGCTTATGTTTAGTTACATAAGAAGCTGTCAGACTTATTTCAAATTGGCCGTACCATCTCACACTATCAATGAGTGAGAATTCAGTTTATTCCACATGTCCACCAACATTTGTCTTATTCGTCTTTAATATTAGCCATCCTGTTGGTATGTAGAGCATTTTTTTGATAAATGCATTAACACCATTAAAGTTTTAGGAAAAAAATAGTGTACCTGCACTTAGAGAAGCTGATGAGACTGTTTCCTTGCACCCACAGGAAACTGAGATCCTTTAAAACATGTACATACAGTCTCTATTTTTCTTCTTAGACTCTGTCTAATTTTTTGTCTTGTCTTTTTTTTTAATTGTGGCAAAAGACACATAACAAAATTTATCATTTTGACAGTTTTAAAGCGTAAAACACAGCGGTATTAAGTACATTTATGGTTTGTGCAACCATCACTATATCTAGCTGCAGAACTTTTTCATCAGCTCAGATGGAAACCCCACTTGTTACTCCCCCTCCTCCTTCCTCCTATGCCCTGGCAGCCACAAATCTGATTTTCATCTCTGTCGATTTCCTATTCTGGATATGTCAATAAATGGGACAATACCATACATAGCTGTTTTATGATTATAAGATATTAGGTATAATTATAGACTCTTTGGATGACAGGACACAACACAAAGGCACTCTAAGTAGATGCAAGGCAGAACTTTTTGTTACTTACAGCTCCAGATGAAAGAAGGCTTCCTTGCAGGGCCATACAGGGTAGCAACATGCTAGAGCCATAGAAGGCAGCTATGTATGACAAGCAGGGTGGAGTAGCAAGGTTTTGTGGGCTTCCTGGGGTTGGGTATTTTGAATAATCCTGTGGATCTAAGGAAGAAAAGACCACTCCTGTTAGGTATCTCGGGGCCTCTGGCAGTTGGGAATGTGTGTATGTAACCCAGGAGTGTCCGAGCCCCAGAGGGAAGTAGATGGGGTAGAGGCTTAGCAAGCTGTCCACAAAGGGGAAATGAGACTTTTCAAATTGGATCAAGACAGCACTTGTGAAATATACAGTACAGCAGCCTTTTGTGTCAAGCCTCTTTCACTTAGTACAGTGCTTTCAAGTTTCATCAATGTTGTAGCACATGTCACTACTTCATTTTTTGCTATGGCTGAGTGCTATTCCATTGTATGGATGTACCACATTTTGTATACTCATTCATCCATGTAATGGACAGTTGGATTGTTTCCACCTTTTGGCTATTATGAATAGAGCTGCTATAAACATTCATGTACAAGTTTTTATTTATCAGTTCTTTAGAGTATATTCCTAGCAGCGGAATTGCTGGGTGGTATGTAACTTATTGAGGAATTGCCTGTCCGTTCTCCACAGCAGCTGCGTGATTTTACATTTCCACCAGCAATGGACAAAGACTCCAATTTCTCTACATCCTCACCAACACTTGTTAGTTTCCATTTTTTTTATTATGACTATCCTGGTGGGCATGGACTGGCATCTCACTGTGTGTTTGATTTGCATTTCCCTTATGACTGACAACAGTGAGCACCTTTTCACGTGCTTGTTGGCATCTGTATGTCTTCTTCTGAGAGATGTCTATTGAAGTCTTCTGCACATTCTCAAGTTGGGTTGTTTGTTGTTTTGCATAAAGTCTAAACTCTGCAAAGCAACTTTCTTTTTCCAAATAATTTCCTCTAATTTTTTTCTAATTATAAAGTATTTAATGTATTTATAGTATACTTGTAGACATGAAAAGCTGAGGGTAGGAGTGGAAATTTTAATGTGTATATTTTTTCCCAAATCATACTTCATTTTTCCATTTTCCTTTCATTGTAATTAGATACATTTTTAGTTTCTACTGTTGCTTATTTGTATCAATCTTTGTTTTTCATCAGTCTTAGAAAATGACTGTGTATTATTTTTGCCTTTAGGAAAGAAAATAAGCTTTTGGTTTTATGAATTAACTTTGCTTTTTGTTTTCTGTTCAATCCATTTGAACTTTCATGTTTATTAATTCCTTCTGCTTATTGTCTTTGGTTTTCTATTGTTGCTCTTTATCTAATTGCTTGAGTTGAAATCTCAGGTTATTTATTTCAGAGTTGATGTTTTCTAATTAATTAATCTTTAAATTATCTTCTGAATACCCACACTCAATGTGTTTTGATACATTGTGTTCTTGTATTTATTCAAATAATGTGTAATTGCCATTGTGATTAACCTTTAATTTGATCATTATTTAAGGATGATGCTTTTTTTTGTATATGTATATTTTTATTGAAGTATAGTCAGTTTACAATGTTGTATCAATTTCTGGTGTACTGCATAATGCTGCAGTCATACATGAACAAACGTATATTCATTTCATATTCTTTTTCACCATAAGTTACTACAAGATATTGAATATAGTTCCCTGTGCTATACAGTATGAACTTGTTGCTTATCTGTTTTATATATATTAGTCAATATCGGCAAATCTTGAACTCCTGATTTATCCCTTCCCATCCCCTTCCCCCACTGATAACCGTAAGTTTGTTTTCTATGTCTGTAAGTCTGTTTCTGTTTTGTAAAGTTTGTTTGTCTTTTTTTTTAGATTCCACATTTAAGTGATATCATATGGTATTTTTCTTTCTATTTCTTGCTTATTTCACTTAGAATGACAATCTCCAAGTCCATCCATGTTGCTGCAAATGGCACTATTTTATTCTTTTTTATGGCTGGGTAGTATTCCATTGTATACATATACCACAACTTCTTTATCCAGTCATCTGTCGAAGGACATTAAGTTGGTTCCATGTCTTGGCTGTTGTATATAGTGCTATGAACTTTGGGATGAATGTATCTTTTCAAATTAGAGTTCCCTCTGGATATATGCCCAGGAGTGGGATTGCTGGATCATATGATAGGTCTACTTTCAGTTTTTTGAGGACTCTCCATACTGTTTTCCATAATGGCTGCACCAAACTGCATTCCCACCAGCAGTGTAGGAGGGTTCCCTTTTCTCCACACTCTCTCCAATATTTATCATTTGTGGACTTTTTAATGAAGGCCATTCTGACTGGTGTCAGGTGATATCTCATTGTAGTTTTGATTCTCATTTCTCTGGTAATTAGTGATATTGAGAATTGTTTCATGTGCCTATTGGCCATTTGTATGTCTTCGCTGGAGAATTGCTTACTTAGGACCTCTGCCCATTTTTGGATTGGGTTGTTTGTCTTTTTTGTTGTTGTTGTTATTGAATTGTATGAACTGTTTATATATTCTGGAAATTAAGCCTTTGTCAGTCACATCATTTGCAAATTTTTTCTCTCATTTGTAGCTTGTCATTTTGTTTTGCTTATGGTTTCCTTTGCTGTGCAAAAGTTTATAAGTTTAATTAGGCCCTATTTGTTTATTTTTGCTTTTATTTCTATTGCCTGGGTAGACTGCCCTAGGAGAATGTGCTAAGATTTTTGTCAGAGAATGTTTTGCCTACAATGTGTGATATTTTTAAAAACATGGTTAAACAAAATTTATGCATTGTTTACATAAAAGGATCTACTTTTCAGATGACACTATTCTAGTTTTCAGAAAAGAAGTGAATATCCTGACCAGGAGGCATTAAATTAAGCTGAAACTTAAGTCTTAAAATCCTCTTTAGAACAGGTGGCAAAAACACTGTTCTTGTAACTGGAGATGTTAGATACAAGAGAGAAATGTGAGTCTCCTAAATTAACCCTCATTAACCCTCCAAAGTAATATTTAAATGTGGGAAAAAGTTCATCGAACTATAGTAAGAAAAGTTAATTTTACTACTATTAAAATGAATCAAAAAGAGGCCTTGGCCGCTATAATTCGAGGCAGTGTTTTTTGCCTACATCAGGCAAACTATATCATAGCCAGGAAACTCATGGCCAATATGACCAATCAAGGGATTTAACTTTTCACATATTAGCAAATTGCAAACACCTAAGAGTCAGGAAACACACAAAAACTCTTCATCAACACCAACTGAATTCAACCCAGTAAGCAACCAGTTTCTCAAAGTGGAAAAAGAGGCAAAGCAGTAAGGCATCTTTCAAGTGCTAAATGAGTGGACAGGAAAACATATAAACAAGGACAAAATTTATTTAGTCTAGAAAAATGTGTTGCAATTAAGCTTTACACCAAAATCTCTTTAAAAAAAAAGAGGTTCCTTGCTCTTAAGGAAAATTTATCTGGAGAACTGCCTTAGAGATGAGAAATCGGGCAAGACTAAAAGGACTCCTCTTGTCCTGAAGATTGTGATCTCAGGGTGCACACTTGTTTCTTTTAATTTTCTGGTAATCAGTCTGGGAGAGGAAGTTCATAGTGACATGTTTAGGTGGGTTGATGAACCTAAATTGTTGTTAGAAAAATGTCAGTCCATTAATCAATAAATGTAGAAAGAATGATGGAATGAAAAAAATTACCCTTTGGCAACATCTTGCTTGATTAAGGCAAGAATCATCCATAGATGCTAAAATTATTGGATGAAAGCTTGAAAAGTGATAGGATATTTTCATAGTCTCAAAGTATCTCCCTATAAGACATCTATTAATTACATAAGAAATTATTGTATCTCTACAATGCAGAAACCTGGCTGACACCACCTTAATCAGGTGGCCAACACACATCATATTGAACTAATAGATTCTACATACCTCCCAAGATGATGTGTTGAGAAGCAGGGCTAGGACTCAGGGGAGGCAAACAAGGCATCTCAGGTTGATCCTGAACTTGCATGAAGCTGAGAATAAATCTCTCCTTAAATTAAGGGGATCACCATTGCCTTACCTGAGTCCCAGCCCTGCTGAGAAGAGCACGTTGCTTCTGTGCTATTCTGGCCGAAAGTGCATAACCTGAATCTAATCTTGAGGAAACATCAGAGCAACACAAAGTGAAGGATATTCTACAAAATGATTGGTCTGTACTTTTCAAAAATGTCAAGGTCACTAAAGACAAAGGCTAAAGCAATGGTTCCCAGTGAAATGAGACTTTAAAAAACATGACACTGAACACAACACATGATCCGGGATTTTCTTTTTCTATAAGGGACACTGTTGTGACAATTGGTGAAATCCGAAAAAGAACACTAGATTAGCTAATAGTATTGTGTGTGATGATTATGTAAGAAAATATATTTGTTTTTAGGAAGTTCTGACTCAAGTAGCTCGGAGCAAATAGGCATCATGCCTACCACTTACTTTCAAATGGTTCAGAAAAAAATATGGGTAAATAGAGAAATAGAAAAAGATGAATAAATGTGGTAAAATGTTAATGTTTGGGAAATCTGGGTGGATGGTGTATGGGAATTCTTTGTGATATCTTGTAACTTTTCTGTAAGTCTGAAATTGTGTCAAAGTAATTTTTAAAATCAAATATCTAATAGGACTTCCCAAAGGAGAAAACAGGGAGGATGGGAGGGGGAGGATGTACAGAGCAGTCCGTCACTAAAGGAGGAAAAGAAAACAAAGGGAAAAAGCAACCTAAACTTTAAAAAATTTTCCTCAAAAGACATTTTATTTATATCCACGAATTAAAAAGTGTTTTCAGGCATTCTCTAAATGTGGTTCAAATCTTAACTCACAGAACCCATTCATTTGAGATTTTATAACGTCCCTCGTTGAATAAAAGCTTCTGACCACAAGCGAAACAGGAAGACTGGGATGAGAAGGGGAGGGAGAATGCTCCTCTTAACAATGGCCTCTCTTTGGATCTTTCCAGCCTCTGAGTGTTCATAAACGTGAAAGGTGTGTTCAGAAACCTGTGCATTAGAAGGCTCCTTCCCTCCCATGTCGTACACAGACAAGTGAGTGAAAGAAAAGATTTCCTGTCACTTAATACACAGGAGGGGAGAACTGAAGACATGGAGGAATGAGCTGACTCATGTTCCTGACACAGGACGCCTGGGAAGGGCGTGGAGATGAGCAGGCACCTGGGCAGATGTGGCAGGTATGTCTCCAGTTTCTCTTGGATTAGATGGTAATCCTTTCAGAGACTCCCAGCAGCTCAGCCAGGAAGAGGCCCGTTTCTGCCAGGGTCCCGTCAAGGTCTAGACAGGCCCCGCACCTGTTCAGCTCCCTCTGCTGAGGCTGGGACGGGCCTTCCCAGACAGACTGGGTGGCAGGAGACGTTCTCGTTGTTTACTTCTGGAAACAGCTGATGTTTCAGGTGCTCTGAAGAACCACTATTCAGGGAGAAGAATCCTGCTTTCATCACGTACTAGCTGTGGAGCTTTGAGGGCGATGTTGTTCCCCAAGGTACCAGCACAGGGACCCTCCCCGGGTTTCGGAGAGAACTAATATAGGATTGTACGTAGAAGCACAGTCACAGTGACACAGCTGTTGCTCACACAACTTCTTTCTTTCTGACAGACAAAACGTTCACATTTCCCTTTACCCTTTGCTAGGAAGCATGGAACTAAGCTTTCGCTTATTTATTTGTGTTAAAGATTGACTTCCTCTAGTCTGAGTTTTCTGATACAGATATTCTACCTTTCCATCTCCAGTTCTTCCCTTGATTTTGGTCTGATCCAAAGTCCTCTTTTATTTTCAGATCTTGATGGACATCAGGCTCGAGAACTCGAATTTCCTGGTTCTCCTTCCTTCCGTTTTGACTGCTTTCAAGAGTGAACAGGCTCAACAGCCAGGCAGGCAGGGACCTCAGCAGAACAATGGTGAGGAATAGGCAGGGGCTGGAGCTTAAGCTGGCCCTGAGGAAGGGAGCCAGGGCTTAGACCCACGATGTAGGAGCTGTGTAGGGAGGACAGATGCCATCCCAGCTGATGTCAGTGCTCAGGGGGTTCCAAATGGTGAGTTGGGGGTTGTGGTACTCAGAGCACATGCAGGCAGCATTCCCACCACCATCTGGGGGCCCAGAAGAGGGAGTCCAGGCTTCGAGGACTATACAAAGGTAGGGAGGATTATGGTTTTGTGGGAATTGAAATGTGTACAATTTGGAGGACCCACTTTAAGAAAGCAATACAAAAATAGTTCACTTTTGCAAACGCCATAAAGCGCAGGCCCCTGAACGGTTCGCTAGGGCTCTGCTCAGGGCCTTGGCAGGGGCCTGTGCAAGTGAGGGACATGCAGCCATGCCACGGTTACTTCCACCTCTGTCTCACAGCGGTGTTCAGGCCAGGGCTGCAGACGCAATCAGGAGGGGAGGTACAGAGCAGGAAACCCAGGCAGGAGCCCAACCCAAATCAGGCTGGGCTCATGAAATGAGGGGGAAGAGAAAGGAGGTAGTCTGACACTCGGGTGGGATCTGGGCTCAGTCCAGGTGTTCCAGATGCCAGGCTCAAGGCCGGCAGCACAACTCCAGGCCTCCCTTACACACTGGAAGGCCTGCATCAGTGGTCAGATGCCAGTGCGCCAGATTGGCACAGACGTCAGGAAGGGCTCACTGCTGGCTGTCTCATGGCCACATCAGGCAGAAGGTAAGGTCTGGCAGAGACTTGCACATATTAATTAGTTTGTTCATTTAGCCGTTTATCAGTTACTTTGGAGGAAAAAAGAAGACAAAGGCCCCGTTTCTGTCCTCAGGGAGCTCATTGTCTAAAAGCAGTGGCTGACACCCAAACACGCTGTAGCCAGCGTCCAAAGGAAATCACCTGTGGACCCCGAAGAGCCTCTGCGTAGTGAAGAGGACTGTTTTGGTTTTAGCATGGAAAGTCCTATGTTTCAAGAAATTACCCAGCCCTGGGCAAATAGGGACAGTTGGTCACCCTAGGAGGGAGGGACAGTGACTGGTTTCCTTGGAGGTGGGAGGGCCTCAAGGTCCCTGGGCTCAGTCTTGAAACACCATTCATCTCCCTTGAGGGTGTCATAGGGAATGGTGGCCTCACGAACTTTCTGATCCAGCCCTGAGTAACTGCATCCAAGTTTCTTGAGAATGTGGGAGGCGGGTCCAAGTTGTAATTTGGGGCCTGCTATCAGAAGAGAAAGTGTAAGGAGCGGCAGTGGTGGGGGGAATCAGCCTGGGAAAGAGCATCCAGGGCCACCTCTGAGGCCAAGCCCAGAATCTGAGGAGAAGCTTCAGCGAGCCAGAGGCAGACTGAGGCCATCAGGTGATGGAGCTCAGAGCAGCAGAGGCCTCTGACTAAAGAGCGACAAATTGCCCCCTAGTCAAGGGACCTTCAGAGTTTCTGAGTAACAGCAACTCGCTCCTTTCCCTGAGGGCAGAGCTGGATGAGAAGTACTAGTGGAGAACAAGGACCATGGAAGAAACCCAGTAACCCTTTGTTCCCCCAGGCCTCTCCTAGGTCACTGTCTGTCCAGGTTAAGGAAATCACTCTGGATTTTTAATCTGAGATCTTCATGTTTGGTTTATCCCACACCTGAAACTACATGCCACATTTTGTGTATGTAAACATCTTCTCAGGAAAATAGCATTCACCAGGGTCTCAAAGTTGTTCAAGACCAGAAACAAATTAGGAAATGCTAGACTAAGTTGTTGCTAAGCTCCCTGTTTTCAAGTTCTATGATTCTTTGATACTACATAAGATAATTGATTCAAATTTATAACAAGGATCACAAAGGAAGTAAGTGCAGGTGTCCAAGAAGCCCAAGAATGATCACTTTGAGAAATATGCTAAATAGTAACATCAGGGAATACAAAACAGCTTTCTCTGTTGTGAAAGGAGACCTGTGACAGTTAATTTTATGTGTCAACTTGGCTAGGTTACTGTGTGGGTGCCCAGTTGTTTAGATGTTGTTGTGAGATAGTTTTTAGATGTGATTAATATTTAAATCAATAGACCATGAATAAAACAATCCATGCCGTTGGCAGACCTCATCCAATCAGTTGAAGGTCTTAAGAGCAAAGACTGAGGTGTCCCAAAGAAGAAAAAATTCTCCTTAAGACAGCAACATAGGAACTGGCCTAAGTTTCCAGGCTACTGCCCTGCAGAATTTAGACTCAAGACTGTAACATCAACTCTTAGTTGAATGTATAGATGTCCAGTCTGCCCTACAGATTTCTGGGACTTGCCAGCCCTCACAAGCATGTGAGCCAATTCCTTAAAATAAATCTCAATTTCTTTCTCAATCTCTCTGTTATTGGTTCCCTTTCTCTAGAGAACTCCGGCCAGTACATCACCCATTAGTGATTTATTTCAAATTACAATACTGGGTAACATAGTACATATAACTCACCAAAATGGTCACCACTGGTGAAGGCAGTCCTGGGGCCATTTGGAACAAATGAATACTATTGGACAGGGACAGGGTACAAAGACAAAAACAAAAACCAAAATGCCTCCAAAACCATACTCTTCCAGGTGCCTGTTCCAAGCTTCTAGTAACTCAATTTGGTCAAATTGGTTGAAAGCAAGTTGGTTATCATGACAGTTTGGTCAAGAGAACAATTTGGTTTAACATGAATAATCGTTGCTTTTTAATTGATACACAACTCTGCACTGTTAAACTTCTCCACAAAAAGCACATAACCATATTATTGTTATAATTTTACAAGAGTAAGATAATGAATATTTTCAGGCGCTGTTTTTTTGGAGTGCTGGCGGTGGGGGAGCTGGCTGGAGCAGGCCTGAACACCTCTGCACTGCCCACAGATAAGGACCTGGAGCTGGACCACCCCATGGAAATTCCCCTGGCCTCCAGGCTGGTGACCAGAGCTGCAGGAAACTAGAAATTTCCACGGGCTTCCTTCCAGCTGGTGGAAGAGCCCATGCTCTTTGGGCAGGAGTGAAAGGTAAATGACCCTGAGGGGTTTTCAGATTCCTGAAAAAGCAATCTTTGGAGTGGAGGTTGACGGTAAAAACAGCCACCTTGAGCTTTGTCCCTTTTCTCTACCAGAGGGCTGGGGAAGGTCTTACTCGTTGTGTTATTTCATTTAGCAAGTATTTATTGATGTGCATTAAATATGCAAATCTTACCAGGTTTTGGGGGGAGAGAATCTTGGGGGGAAACCCTCAGTTTATTAATAAATTCCTTCGGCCGAACTTTTAATTTCTTTTAGGTCACTTTATTTTTAAGAGATTCGTAATATGTAATGAGAGTTAAAAGAAACGAAGACACTGCCTCAGGGAGCTTGGAGTTAGGAGCGTAATCATAAACATTAGGAGCCACGAAAACACTGAAAGCGGCGGTCGCTTGGAAAGTGGAGCCGCCTGGGCTGGGCTGGGGCTGCCGGGAGCCTGCAGCCTCAGCTCACCTTCCCGCGCTCCACGCGACCGCCCGCCCCGCGCGC